GCATGTGTAAGTGCCAATAAATGTTACCAATAATGATAATTATAATTTTCATCTGTGCTATGGTCTGTATCCTGGGTTGATTTGCCTCCTGCCCTTAGGTGATGGCTCTGACTAGAGCCACACCCCCACATTCCCTTGTGATGCAGTGTGTCAGGAGTTGTCCTCAAACTCAAGGCCTCGCCTGGCAAGTGTGGCTCAGTGGTTGAGTGACAGCCCATGCACCAAGAGGTCACTGGTTCAATTCCCAGTCAAGGCACATGCCCAGGTTGTGGGCTCAATCCCCAGCAGGGGGTGTGCAAGAGGCAGCCCATAGATGTTGATGTTTCTCTCTCATTGATGTTTCCATCTCTCTCTCCTTCTCCCTTCCTCTCCCTCTAAAAAAATCAATAAAAACATATTTAAAAAAAAAAATCAAGGCCTCAATGGGAGAAGATAGACCAGAGAACATGGGCCAGGAGTCCAAGTGTCCAGCCAAGCAGGTAGAGGCTAAGAGGAGCTGCAGAGACAGCAAGTGAGTGGTTTGGAGGGTAGAGGGGCAGGCAGGGACCAGAGTCCTGCAGCAGTTGAGAGGGAGGTAAAGGTGGGGGCACCTGCAGTCAGTCTCCAACTGTTGATTGTGGCCAAAGCGAGAGGCAGCGAAGACCAGCAGGTGAATTCTGCTCCTGATTGACACAGAGGGCTGGGGAATGCAGAGGTAAACTCAAGGCAGGTAGGTGTGAGTGGCTGTGCTTCTTCAAGAGCAGCAAGGGCCCTGTGAGTCTCCCTGTAAGCCTGTATCTGTAATTGCCTCTCCCCACCCATTCTTTAATTAAAATGAAGCCCCAGCCTTATGGGGGTGGGGCGCAGAAGCTGCAGGGCACAGATGCTTAGAGAAGCAGAAGGTCTCTCCTGGGTTCTCTGAGTGAGAGTCAGGTCCCAGGGGGAGGGATAAAGCAGGGTTTGGAATGAGGGAGGTTGCTTGATGGATGGAGGCAACAACAAAAAATCTATTAGCAGTGCTTTGAGCTCCTTAGAGAACAGTTCTCAAGGAAGCCAAGTAAACAACTTCCTGATACTCAAGATTTGTTAATTAAGCACTTTGAACAGGCTCTGGGGGGAGGGGGCAAACAACTGTAGAATCTGAGTTCTGAGAGTCTTCCAGCTTTAAGCGAGAGGACAGTGGATCTCAGGGGCTCCAAGGGCCTGAGGTGGGGCTCAGGGGCCAGCGGCCTGAGGTGTCTCCCAGCCTCAGCCTGGGAGGCCTGGTTGCTGTGACTATAGGAAGCCATGTCAATGGTGGGACCATACATGAGGAGGGGTCTGAGTTGGGTATGCAGTGACACACATACTGTGTTGTCCATCCTGGTGCTCATGAGCCGGCCGTACAGCACACAGAGCAGCAATATCTAATCTGTACAGGGAAAGGCCACCTGGTGTCACCAGAGGGCACACTGTGAAGAAATGGGTGCCCATCGATGCCTAGAATTTCTCAGGAGTCCATCAGGACTTTGGTTTAAGCACAAGACACCTCTGAGCTTCTCTTTCAAAGTGCATATACTCCTGGGAGAAGTATTGTATTAAGTAACTGTGTCTCCTGTAAAGGACACTGTTCAGAGCAGATAGCTCCTGTATTGGAGAGATGGGACCTCCGAGGAGTGAGTGAGCAGGGTTGAGGGGAGAGGGCACTCCAATGGGGAGGGGGAGGGGGAGGGGACCTGGAAGCCCAAGAATTAGGAAGATGGGAGGAAGTATGCCAAACCTGCCCCCAGCTTCCCTGTCATCCTGCCCAGAGGCCTAAATAATGTCCCAGAATAAGCCCAAATAAGAGAGGAGAAAGCAAAGAGGGAACAGGAGGACATGGGAGGGAATCCCCACGAACGAATGTCAAGAATGTGCTTTTCCCCTGATATTTTCAGGGCCAGTCCTCTGTGGGCCACTGTTCTGATTCTGGGAGCAGACCTGGGTGAGTAGGTCCCTCCTTTCCTACCTCCCACTGTCACCAGGTTACAGTCTCCCAAGTCCCACTCCACTCAGTCTCCCTGTTCCCACAGGAGGCTATGAAAATAAATGTTTGGTAAATAGACTCATCTCCTGGGGAGCTATGTAGGAGAGAGATCCTTGGACGACCACTCATAGGAGAGGGAGAATTCCCTCTTGAAGGGGGTGCGTCCAGCCTGGCTCCCACCCAAGTTACCGACGTCTCACACTGGTGGTCCTTCCCTAGACAGAAGGCTCAGCCTCAGCCCCAGACAAGAATCATAATTTACTCTGTCTCCAGCCTCCTGGGAAATGCCCTTTCCCAACCATCTTGGATGGAGAGAACTGCCCAGTGCCTGGGATCCGATACTACACCCCACAGTTCCAGAGTTGGGCTAAGCAGGAGAGGCTTGAAGACAAAGGGAAGGAGCTCTCCTCTCCCTACATGGAAGACACAGGCATACAGTGGAGGATATGGTAAAGCCAGGAACAACACATTTACAGTCCAAGATGGGCCCACCGATGCCCAGCTCTGTCACAGTAAGCCCCTGGGCACAGAGGAGAGTGGTCAGTTGGAGGGGAGGAAGCCCTCAGTGAAATCTGGGCTGGCCACAGTGTCCACAAGGCTGGGTCTGCCCACAGTCTCTGGGCTGCATCCCCCCAGTGAGCGCTGAGGTAGATGGAGGTCCCTGAGAGAAGGCAGGCAAAGGAAATGCAAGGAGGCAGGGAAAGGAAGCACAGGGCTGGGCTGGGGCATCTCCTTATCTGTTCCTTTTTCTACAGCTCCAGTCCAGGCTGTGCACTGTTCTCCTTGTGCTTCCACTGGGCACAGGGGCCTGTCTCCAGTTCCCACCTTTTCTCCCTGCACCTGACATCCCCAGCCTCAGCGAGCAGGCACACCTTTATCTCTACCATCTCATTTCTTCTTCACAGTGACTGAGTGAGGTCAAGATGTTTAAGCCTGCTTGGGTTTTGACTGCACTCCTATTGATTTTATAGATTAATTGAGAGAATTAACATCTCAACAATATTAGTCTTCCAATCTTGGATTTGCTTGATAGCTTTAGAGAGATTGCTCTTCTGCCCATCTGATGGCCTAAATTACCTCAAACAATGGGACAGTCTTGAGTCTTTGAGGTTCAGAGGAGTCTGTGGTTACTGATCCTGCAACCTCTGGAAACCTACACGCACAGAAGTTTCCTCCTCTCTTGCATCATCTCTCCCGGGGCTTGGGAGACAGAAATGTTCAGGCAAGCAGGGGCTTCCTACACTGAGGTCCCTACAACCAGTTGTTGATAAGTGGAGCTTGTAGAGCCAGACACCTCAGCTTCTTACTGAGATGGATGGTGATGACCTTGGCCAGCCTTAGTGGTAAGCAATTTGCTATCCAAACGAGAGAGTGGCAAGTATGGGACCTGGGCTGAGGTGTGGAAGGACGCACTTAGATGAGGCCCCATGGCACGGCCTCCCAGTGTTCTGCAGGAGCAGTGTGCTTGGTGGAGGAACCACTGCACTGGTGTCCTTCTCTGGACTTTCCAGGTAGTATGGTCTTTGCTCAGCTCCAAATCCCCTGCCTTCTGGCTTCACCCCAAGTTTCCAATAAGCCTTCCTTCTTGTGAGTGATCCTCCTCTACTCCCCAGTTTAAATGTGTCCCCTTATTATCTTGGGTTATGACAATCTTTTCCTCCTTAGTGCTTTATCATAATTTATGCATGTATCTACTTCTTAAATGTTCTAGACTGTAAGATAAAAATAGAACCCTGTCTGCTCTGTCATTACCAAATCCCTAGCATCTAGCAAAGTCTCTGGCACGTAGCAGATGGTCAATAAATATTTGATGGATAAATTGATAGATCAATGAATTAGTACTTTTTCCTTAGGGAGGAAGTCATTTGAGATGAATGAACAGTGATGTGGGAAACATGCTGTAGAATGTAGGACCATCTTTGGGTATGAGTCCTGGCTCTCTCATTAACACACATACCAGACTTGATTCAGCAGATCTGGGCTAGAGCCCACCAATCCTGACATGTAACAAGGACTCTAGGGTAATTCTGACACTTAAGATGTATGAAAATAGGCAAACAAGTACACACATATTCCTATAAACACAAGCCAACCCATATGTAGAGATTTTTTACTTTTATTTATTTTAACTTTACATGTCAATCACAGTCGACATTCAATATTATATTACTTTCAGGTGTACAGCATATTGGTTAGACATTTATGTAGCTTATGAAGTGATCACCCTGATAAATCTAGTACCCACCTGGCACCATATATAGTTACAATATTATTGACTCTATTCTTTATGCTGTACTTTACATCCCCCTGATTAGTTTTTGTAACTAGTAATTATTTTGTAACTCCCATCACCTATTTTACCCAATCCACAACTTCCCTTCCCTCTGACAACCATCAGTCTGTTCTCTGTATCTATGAGTCTGTTCCTGTTTCTGTTTTGTTTGTTTGTTTGTTTGTTTACTTCGTTCTTTAGATTCCATATATAAGTGAAATCATGCTATTTGTTTTTCTGTGTCTGACTTATTTCATTTAGCATAATATCCTCTAGGTACATCCATGTTGCTGCAAATGGTAAGATTTCTTTCTTTTTATGGCTGAGTAATATTCCATTGTATATATGTACCACATTGTCTTTATCCAATTGTCTATTGATGGACACTTAGGTTGCTTCAATATCTTGGTTATTGTAAATGCTGCTGCAAAGAACATAAGGCTGCATATATCTTTTTGAATTAGTGTTTTGGACTTTTTTAGATAAATACTTAGAAGTGAAATTGTTGGGTCATGGGATATCTGAGTCATTGTCTGCTTAAAAAAAATGAGATCCTCTTTTACTCATATATCTGCATTGTAGTTTTCTCACTCAACAATACCTTTTGAATTCTCCCCAGGTGCTAGGTATAGAAGAAACATCACTTATTTTTTCTTTATTTATAGATACATAATAGGATATGGAGTGTATGGTAGTCCTTAGAGCTACTCACTAATACTTTTAGTTTTCTTCCCTTCCAGGCACATGGTAGGACTTCACTTCCTGGCTCACCTGTAGCTGAATGGGGCCTGTGACTACTTTTAGCCATCAAATTATGACTTCTGGGCTGAAGCATTTAATCATCCGGTACAAGATCCTCCAGAAATCTGTTTTCCTCTGGCATGGCAGCACCAATATTTAAGGTTATGTTTGCTCCATCAGCCTGGGTCCCTGAATAACCACGTGGAGCAGAGGTTCTTTCCTGGCACGAACTGGACATATAACTGATCAGGTAACCCATTTTTGTTGTTTTAAGTCACTTCAATTTTAGAAATGTTTATTCCACATCAATATCCAGCTTAGCCTAATGGAAATATGTTGTTGTACCAGAATTTATTCAACCACTTTCTACTGATCGATGCTCACTTTGTTTCTAGAGTTTTTTTGGCCACTGACAACAATTTTCCAACAAACATTCTTTTAAATATATTCTTACATACTGGTTTCAGTATACACAAATAGAGAAACATGGATGGATACATAATAGGTTAAGATGGGGTCCATGGTTTCATGGAAGAAGGCTTGTGGCTGAGGATTGTTAGTATAGAAGGGGTGGAGAGATGGGGGAGGAGAGACTAAGCAGGAAGTAAAGAAAACAAGGAAAAAATTCACAATTCATATGAAAATATGTACAATATGACCATATTTAAGCAATTCTGTGAAAGTATAAATCCACATCTCTACCTAGTTCTATATAAATGCATCTGTATCTATCATATTTGAAATTTTAAAAATTTAAATTGCTTTGTAATTTAAAAAAAGAAAGGCACCAGACCATGTAAGACCCTAATGAAAATGCAAATGTTATTTGGGATGATCAAATACTAAGGGATTATCAAGCAGTTATTTATACTTTTGCTCAGGTTACATTAAGGGATTAGTAGCTGCATGCTGACTGAAGGAATGAACACAGCACCCAGGGTAGCCCGGATTTGATGTACTGGAGGAGGGTGAAGGGGGGGCAAGGCTGAATGCCCTTTGCTGATAGGCCAAAGCAGGAACTTCAGAGGGACAAGGAGCAGTGGGAGAGCACTGGGAAGGTAGGTCAGGACTCCAGACTTGAAGGAGAGGGTGTGTGGGCAAACCTAGTAGGTGAAATATACTTGTGAGATCACCTGGTCTAGTTTAATTTTATAAGAAGGAATTATTTTCTTTTCTGTTCATCCCTGGTGAATAGCACAAGGCCTGCTCTGTCAGAGTAAGAGCCCCCAAAGCATTTGATGATTAAGAGGGAGAGAAAGAACAAGGAAGTTGCTTTGTTACATAGCTTATCAGTTGCAGAGCCATGGATGAAATCCAGACCAGGCTCATTTTAGCCCCAGATTTTTCCAAGAGTGCTTCAAGGACGTAGGCAGGGAACAAGAAGGAAGGAAGGGAAGGGAGGGAGATGGATACCTCCCTATCTATTAGTCAATCAATTATCTATCTATCATCTATCTATCTATCTATCTATCTATCTATCTATCTATCTATCTATCATCTATCTATCTGTCTATCTATCATCTATCTATCATATCTTTCTCTTGACATCCTTCCTGATTGTCAGGAGTGGAAGTGTATTTCATGTGGGGAAAGGACACCAGCTGGCCCTTCTCTAGTTGTCCAGGTTGTATAATAGTAAGGACTTCCCACTCTGGATGAAAGACCCTCTACCAGCAGAAGCCTTTCCACTCACTGCCCGTGAATACTACTATCTGTCAGTCATACTACCCCCCAGCTACCTCTGTCTCAGCAGCCACTTCCACCAGGTCCTATAGACTGATTGTGCCAAGCACCCAATGGGATCAGGCAAAGTCATCCAGTCCTCTGAAGGAGATTGGCCTATAATTCCAACAAAACTGATTGTGAATATGTTAGTGAGAAAGTAATTTACTGTTCTGTCTTTCCATGTGTATTTTTCCCCCAAAGAGATGCTCACTCTTAGGTGCCCAGAGCTATCTTCTTCTCTACATCTGACCACACCCTGAAGATGATATCTCCTGGACTGGCCATGCTAACTCCTTATGAAATGTAGAGAAATGGCAAAAGATTCAAAAGGGGATTTAATAGAGGATCTGATAAATTCATTTATCCCAAGGTGTTAGGGTCTGATAACCCCTTAATGTTATCTTTCCCAGCAGACTTGCATTATTATAGAACACAGAGAAAGTAAGTTGTTAGGCATCAGCTGATAAGGCAGCAGACTCTGGCTCAATTTTCTGAACATGAATATGTTTGATGTAAGTGGATCACAGAAACCAGGTGGTTAAGTATTAGATAATTTGGGATGACGTAAGTATAGAAAGGATGCAGGCTATTAAGAATTAAGCTTGAATTACATATTGAGTGGGATGCTTTCACTTAAAAATAATGGATTAGACAACCAAATATGAATAAAATATTGAAGGAATTATTATATTATATTATATTATATTATATTATATTATATTATATTATATTATATTATATTATATTATATTATATTATATTATATATTAATTATATTACATTATAAGAATTCTAGAGTTTGGTTAATTCAACAGCTGGAAATGCCTCCTTTTTCTTTTGTACTCCATAAGATTTCAAGGTGTCTGTAGCTATCCTGCATAAGGTGCAAATGTGACAGTCATTCAAGAAATTGAAGGACCTCTACTCTCATTTCCCATGCAACATTTTTCAGCAGGGAGAAAAATACCTTTACAGAAGCCCTTTGTATTAATCAGCATGGGCTCACTGTCATAACAAACACCAGCAGAATTCCAATGGCAAAAATGAAAGGTTATTTTTTTGCTCATGCCATAATCTGATTTATGTTGACTGGGATGGGGAGAATGCTCTGTTCCATGCAGACACTCAGGGATCCAGGCTTCTTCTATCTAGTGGCTTGAGTATCCTCCAGGGCCTCAGGATAATATGTTGGATCTCTTGCATCTGGCCTGTGAGTGGGAGGAGAGATGGTGTGGAGAAGGTGCAGAAAGTGACGTACCTCATTCCTTTTCACATTACATAGTGAAAAGTAGCTGTACGACCTCACTGAAATGCAAAGAGCTGCGGGATGTAGTCTAACTCTGCCCAGAAGAAGAGGGAAATGTGGATATTGGTGAGTACCAGTAGTCTCTGTCACACTCCTCTTCAGATAGGATTCTCATTGGCCAGCAGTGGGTCACGTGCTCATGCCACTCACTGTCAAGGGGAATGAGAAGGGTCAGATTTGCCTGTATGGTGCACAGGCCCTCAGGCAATCCCAACAATCCTCACCTTCTGGGATTCATGCCCTTCCTTGGACAATCCTCTCCCCTTGAGTTGGGAGGGCTATGTGACTTCCTTCTCACCACTAGAATATGGGAGATTAAGAATTCTCTTGAGGACTATACAGAGGCCCCCGAGTTAGGAACATACATACTATATGAGGCTGACTAACCAGAACTTCTGGGTCATGTAGATGTGAGAAATGACATCCGAAGACAGAGTTGTACAGAGTAAGAACATGTTCTTAGCAAACCTCAGCTTGTTTTTATGTTTTTATATGGAAGAAAAAAATTTTAGAGTGTGACCACCCAGGGCTCCCCTAAAAGAGTGGAGATAGGTGTAAAGGCTGCAGGGCTGATGAACAAGAGTGGCGACCGAGCCTTCTGGACTAGCCTAAACCAGAGAGCAGATGAGAGGGATACAGAACAGCTAGGGATCCTGAATAGAAGAAAGCACATGACAGCCCTGGAAGGAGGACAATTAAGAAAACAGAAGACCAAGAAACAGAGCAGCAAGAGGTACACCTCCCAGGTGAATGAGGGCATGGCTACCTCTACCAGTCGTATCACCTGTCCTGGGGAAAGAAAGTGAAAATAAAAAGGACACGAAGAAGTTGTGTTTCTAAGTCTTTGACTTCTCTATGAGAATTGTTTAACTTTATCTTCAATTCAGTGATAATACAAAAAAATTAATAGAAACATTTTTCCAGATTATATGTATAGATAACTACCTTATAACCAACTGCTAAATTCATTGCCCACATTTGCCTTTGCACTGTGATTGTGTCAGTAACAATTAGCACTACAATAATTGATGCAGCCTAGTGAGAGAAGAACAGAGGGAAAATTACAACGTAAATGGCGTGCTCCTGCCAAGTAAAAACCAAATGACTTCACGGATGCTGGTGTACTAGTGGGAGAGTGAAATTGTCACACGGCACATGGAAACAGAAGCAGGCCAAATTCAAAGCTCCCGTTAGATGTATTTATGTCCTTGGGGGTGACTCAATTTTAGCAAGCAATACCAACGATAACATTGAATTAATTCTGTAAATTTGAATTGTAATTTTCTTTGTATTTAATCTGCAAATTCATTTTGGTTTTGTGGCAGCCTTCAGGGCTGCTTACAGATATCCAGTTCTCTCTTCCTGAATACATGACAGGATGGCACTTTGGGGTCCCGTCTGGTGAGTAAACATGTGATTAGTCCTGGCCTGTGAGTTGTGAGTGCGGAGTGATGGAGCCACAGCCTTTGATTGCAGTGTGGTTCCCTCCAGGGTTGTCCTTGCCTCTTGCAGCATTTGGGATCGGGCTGTGTCTACCAGTGTGCTGCCTCGGTTTCTCTCCAGCTTCCTCTGTGCCTTCTGGGAGGCAGACTGTTGGGACTGGATCCATGGTCTCCCCTACCCTCTAACTTCTGGTTGGATTTAGCCAATGGAAAGTTCTGGCAGGAAACCAGAGGGCAGGAGAACAAGGTTGGACTATTAAGTCCCCTTGCTCATTCTGTGCAGGTCACCCTGGATTGGTTGCAAGACCCATCCAGGTTCTGGTAGCTGCTTGCCCACCTGGCCCCTACAGGGTGAGGTGGCTAGTCATCACTAGCCCTAGGGTACTGCACCATATGTTCCTGGCTCCCTTACCTCTGGCTACACCCTTGTAAATAGTACAGATAAGTAATAGGTGAAATGCTCCTCAAATTCTTCAGTTTGGGTGTGCTCTTTGCTTCTTGCCAATCCTTGACTGACGCAATAATGGTGGCTGCTAGATCCGATCCCCTCCCTGCTTACTTGTAATATCATGTAATAGGAGAAAAAAATAAATCTTTGTTGTTTATTGCCACTAAGATTTTGAGATTTTTTGCTATTATGGCCTATTTAAGGGGTTAAATATAATAAATTAATTCCTAGTGTTATGCCTATAGCTATCTTAACACTATGTTATCACTGGAGGGGATTCACAGTGAATTTTGTTTTCTTAAGAGGCTGCATATCCCTCATGATGAGAAACATGGTAAGAGGTGATGATTTTGAAGTCGGACGTCTCGAGTTGGTGTCCTGGTGCTGCAGTTTACTTTAGACAATGCTTCTAAGCCACAGTGCTCTCCATGCAGAAGCAAGATAGCAGGTCTAACTCAGGAGAGTTGCATGATTTGGATAATGTGGGCAAAATGCTCAGCAGATGGCTTCACATCTAGCATTTATTCTACAAATAATGGCTACTATGAGCTTATTAGTAATAGGTACCATAATTTGTTGGCCACAGTAACCTTAAAGATTAGATTCTAGAGAAGAAACATGTAGAATAACTGGGGAGGGACTGTTGTCATCATTACAATGGGGGAAGATAATAGATTGACCTGGGTGGATGCACTTAGCTCAGGGCCTACAGCCTAGGATGTTTCATAACCATCAGGATCTGAGCTACACAGATATTTACTTGAAAAGTATATATTGTTTGTTTCTGCACATCTATGAACATTTTATGAATTGAATCATAATTTATGCACCCTTTATAACTCAAAAGTATATTTGTAATGGTCATTTATGTTGGTAGACAGAGATCTGGTTAATCTATTTTCACTTCTATGACTTTACCACACTTTACTTACCTTCTTATGTTGGTAGATCTTTTTTATTTATTTATTTGTTTTGGTAGTTTTGCTTACTTTTCCAATTATTTGTTATTGTAAATATTTCCGTTATAACTATACTTGCACTATGCAAGAGTTTCTCCAAAAGTGGAATTTCTGGCTTATTGAAAAGAAAACAAAATTGTCTTTCAAATGTTTATACTGTTCTACATTCTCATCAACAGTATATAAAAATTCGAATTGCTCTGCCAAGTGACACTTGTTCTTGTCAGACTCAAAAGCCTGAGGTGAATGACTTTGATTGGCGTTCCTCTGCTAATGTGATTAAGGGTTCTTTATCACACGTTTTGTGGCTGTACTGTTTTCTTTTAAGTGAAATACCTTATCGTGCCTTTCTCCAACTTTCTATTTCTACTTTTTTTTTTTTTTTTTTTTTTTTTTTTTTTTTTATTTTTAAAAG